GAATATCCGCTAAGATATTCACGGGTAATAGAATTTGAGTAGAGTCTACGGGTAATAGAATTTTTTTTCAATCCAGATTTCTTTAAGTGACTAATTAAATTTAACATCTTTAAAAAGAACAAGAACAGTTTCTCCATCAATTACTTTGGTTTCCGTTCAGTTTATAACACAAAAGGTCTCCTTAAAAGCAGCACCCAGTTCTTGACAACAGGGATGAGAAACAACCGATAAAAAGCGGTTCGCATCGCACGCCATCGCACGCGCAAAGTAACCAAGGCGTGCGAAATGCCGCACGCGACCTATTTTCATATTACAAAGACTGTAAATGGAAAGATTTCATTACATGAAGGGTGCTTCAACCTCACACATTTATTTTCATTTCCTAGCAATGTGAATATCCTCGGAGTTGCGTATTTTCAACTGTCTTTTTTCAGCTACCTGGACACATCTTATTTCAATATTAGGCCTATGGCTCTCAGTTGTTATTACTTGGGTCCAAACCCAAGGTCCTAGTTTAATTAGGTTTAATCATCGGTTTAGCTTCATTCTTCAAATGCAACTTTATACATCCTCGATTGTAGCTGTATAATATAACGATAGAAATATTTAAGAATTTTCAGCAGATGAGTTTCTCAAAGGTGGAGTTAGCCTCTTCAGTAGGGGCGATCGAGATCAACTAAACAGAAAAAATTAGGCTACCATTCTCTCGTAAAATGCAGTACGGCGCTCAGCCCTTCTCCGGTAATCAATCATTATCCCTCTGATCCTTTTCTCTATTTTTCTTGCTTCGTGCCACATGGTTATTGTTCAAGAATTCCAAGTTAATTTGTTATTTATTAATGCTCACTCTGTCCTGCCCTCCACATTACCTTCTTTGCGAAGTGCGTTATGATAACTTCACGAACCAATAATGGTAGAATACGGTGCCCCACAATGACATACAATCCCGGACAAAAAAGTTGAGACAAAATGCAATATTTGTAATTTTCTACTTTACCTTGCACCTGTTTATTCAAATCCCCCCTCCCCCCCCCGAAGCAATGTTGGATTTGTAGTTCTATCATTTTTGCTTAAAAATCATGCATTCAACATTGAATTGGGGAAGGGGAAAAGCTATTTTTCAAAGCAAAGAGAAAACATAAATTTTTCTTGTAAAGTCTCAACTATTTTTGTCCGGGATCGTAGGTATATCATCGGCACCACATTGATTAGCCTTCAAGTTAGAGAAAGGTATATACATTTATAAAGAAGTAAGATAATGGATCAATAGATAGCGGTGCTCTGTTTGGGTTACAAAATTTTATCCCGAAGTCAACTTTTTTTCGATAAAATTCAAAACCAAAAAAAATTATTACTGCTTACCTTACATAACAAATTATGCTTTTATGTTGGTTGATTTCACGATTCTTACACTTTAATAACTTTTTAAGTAGCTTGAAATTATTCAATAAAATGACGAAAGTATGAAAAACAAGAAATGCATCACCGGGTTTTTGCGATTTATTTATATTACGATTGGTAGTGTGACTGAAAATTTCAGTCATTTCACCCGACAAATATTTACAGAAAAATTGTATCTAAATAACCTACGTCTAACTATAACTAATGATTTAAACGTAATTCCCTTTTTCTATTAATTAAAAGCTTATTTCTATCACGAGACCTGTAAACTAGCTCAAAACCGGTAAGAACCATTTAATTTGTTGTGAATGTCGCTTTCACAATATCATACTTCAACGAAAGTTAAGAGATCGATAAAAGCATAGGCATAGAAGATAAAGGGGTGAGAAAGGATGCAACCCCCCTAATCAGACAAAATTGATCACATATTAGGCTCCATTTGTGCAGTTGTCTCATTGACGGAATAATGTCCAGGCAAGGTCGATACTAAGCCCCTTCCCCTACAAGTTTAGCATCTGCAACACCCCTGGGTAAATGAGGCCTTGATGTTACTTCATGATGAAGTATATGAAAGAGTTGACGTGTCTTGTTTTTGGTAACAATTTACAATAATATGTAGCTTTTTGTTGGCTCACCACTTGCAAAAGGAGTCACCCTTGGATCATGAAAGCGTATGGGCGTGAACCACAAAAATTAACATATAAAATTTAAAATATCACGCGGCTGATGTTAGACATTTTGGCATATGTCAATAAATAAGGGTGAATACTATGATTGTCAAATATATGAAGGCAGATTAATTGCGATGAATGTAATAGGGCCTTTACCAGCCTGTATAGTAAGCAGGGGGGGGGGGGGGGGGGGTGACCAGTGCAAACATTAGCTCTAAACCTTTTAATACAAATTTGACTGCAATCTGCACTTCTACCATTGCACTTAAACAACATTTTTCATCACATTACAAATAGTCTTATCTAAGAAAATTAAATAAACCTTGCAAATAAATCACCTATACAGCAAACAATTAAAAATTACAAATGATTATTTACAAATTCTACACCGAGATTGTTTGTAATTAAAATGCATTTTAACAATTAAAATGTCAAGACTGCTTGATTTCGACTTCGCCAAAAGATCCAGCTTCGTTTTCTATAAGACTCTCGCTTTGTTCCTCATTTTCTCGGACACTGTAAGGTAATTTGTATGAAAATATGATACACATTGTTCACCAACAGAGGTAAATATAGGTCCGGTTGTAGTGACGTGCCAATGAAAGCAATAAACTATAATGGCGATCAGAAAACCTACAGAAATTGAAAAGAATCATCCTTTTAATTTCTGTATCATCATTTTTTCCAATTGCTTATTCCTGTTATTCCTCAGGGCACCATTATGGGAAAAAGTTCAGCTAGACCTTTTAATGTTATCCCTGCCACTAAAATTAGGGGTGTTTATCTTTGTCGTTAACTTACATTATTGTATTTAATTCTTTTTAACTTTTATAACTTGCAAATACAATTAGTGTGGCGAATTATACATACATACATAGCCTTTTAATACTAAAAGCTTACAATAATGGTTATTTGTTGACCTATGTAATTTTATGGCTAAGAAGTAAAAATACAGTACTGTGTTATCTCCAATAGGAGCACCTATTACTTTGTCTGCTACAGGAATAGACTATGAATTGTCCAGCCAAGATTGTCTTTTTACTAACAAACACAGGCTAGCCAATTGGTAACTACCTTTGCAGTAGAAAAGTTTGCCATTATTGTTTACATTTAAATTGAAAATTTCTTCAACCATTAAAAACTTAAAGTAAACAATGATGATTGGCAAAACAAAATCATTGACATAAAAGATGTGGAGTGTAAAGGTGGTTTAATATTGAGTGATTGGGTTATTTCGATTGCTTACCGAAGATATCAAAAGTTTCTCTTAAACTAATAGTAAATACCTATATATAATAGACGGTAGATAAACAACTAGGCTGGTATTATACCAATATAGGAACCCAGTTGAAAAGTAAAGGTGTCATTAAAGCCAGTAACAGAAAATTACAGATTTTTATCTTCGAGTTATTACTGCAGCTCTAGTTCCTACCCTATCTATGCTCTAATTATTGCTCAATGCAATAAGAGCTATACAAGAACAAAATAATTATTCTTTGAAAACAAAAGACGATATATTTTAAATACCCTGGATTTAAAAAAACTTTCTTTATGTAACATCTTGCCTTTTCATAAAGTTTTCCATTTTGAAAATATTTGACATTAATTATGGAAAAAATTGTGCGCATTCAAATACAAAAAAAAACACATCAAACGTAGATTGAAATCCAATACACATGTGTACACAAAGTAACTAAATTATGACAAATTGAATATTTTATACAGTTGATATTTCGTAAAAAAACTAATTCATGACAAAACATATTTTACCTTTCCTCCTTCTCACATCGACGAAAAACTCTACAGCAAGCTTTAAGGGCATCCATCACTGGGTCCCAATCCCCATAATGGCCCAATATAGTGACGACAATGAAGGAGAGAAAAACGGGAATTGTCCCGCCAAGAAACATCCAAGAAAATTTCATCTACAATGAAAAAAGGAATCATGATCAACAGATACAAAATTAGGCAGGTCGTAATTTCTATTATGGTTTATAATATAGTGCTTTACAGTAGAAATGAAAGGCAGATAAAGAAGGCAACCTTAAACACATCATGGTTAGCTAGGATAAACAAAACGAATTTGACATTGAAAGATATGCTTCAAGTGTGAAGAAAGCTCAGTGTTCAATAATGTCCATAAACTAAATAAAGGTCCGCTAAAACGGCCCAATAATTACCAAAACATTTGCCAAACACTTTCTCAAATTTCTTTGGTGCACAAATTTGGAGGTGCTCAAATGACCCAAAACTTTGCCCAAAAATCCACCCTAATTTTCCTACTACGAAAAAAACTACGACATAAAACAAAGACTGGACTGCAACTCTACTAACGTTATTTACGCATTACAGTGCAGACGCTGTTTAACTAACGGACACAAGAACTGCCAATACATCGGACAAACAAGCAGACGACTGAAAGACAGATTTAACGAACACAGACGAGACATTATCAACAGAAAAGTAGACAAATCTGGTGTTGCAGAACACTTCTGTAGCCCAGAACATATCATCAATGACCTTACTATAACACCATTACTGCAACTCAACGACAAACGAAAGAGTGTTCGACGAGCCAAAGAGCAATACCTCATTGGCCTGGCAAAAACTCTCACACCGAATGGCATGAACAGAACCACTGACCGTTAACCTTACAGCATCATTATCATTACTTCATAGTAGAGTAATTGCTGTCGTCGTCTCTTCAATTCGTACATTTACAATAAATAACAAGATTCAGTCATAATCAAATAAATGACAATAGAAGTTACCTTATTGAATAAGATATCCCAAAGCATTGTAAGCGGTGTCACAAGGCCCAAGGCCAACGTTCCAATAACAGAGGAGGTTAGGAGACATCCCCTTCAAAATTAAAACAAGGGTTTAGTATGAAGGTCACGGCATATTCCCTTCAGTCATGCTAAACACTCTCAAATGACTGCAATCTTAAGTACAAAATTACGTTCTCGTATTAATTGTACCACAATTCTTGAAAGTAGTGTTAGCAAACCCGTTATAGAATTTTGGGAACTTCTACAATTTTATGCCTTCAGATCTTGGAAAGCGCAGCATAATAATGAAACTGGGAACAAGCATGGGAACAAAGAGAGACAACTTATTTTAATTCTATTCAGACATAATTCTTTTTTTACAAATATAATATCGAAATAGAACGTTGTATACAAGAATTACGTTGAAATAGAACTAAAACAAGATGCTTCTATTTGTCACCGTGTTGGTTATTAGTTTACGCTTTCAAGACTTGGAATTGTTCTTTTACGAAAATCATCACAACATGAAAGCAAACAGACATAAAAATGAGCCTGCGAAAATCATCTTGTTCCTTAAAAAGGATCCCATATATACCGCATCTTGTGAAAAAATCTCAAAGCCTCTTAAATTGTATATGATAAAACCTTGAAATAATTTATACATGAAATATTTGTCACAGCCTACCACAACCACAGAAGTTCTGCAAGGATAGTACCAAAAATGCCATTCACAACAATGAACAACCATGTTTGATTGTTAGGAGGCATTTCAAACTTCTCTACGCCAGTGTGATGCAGGATAAAAAACGCAGGCCAGAAAATAAGGGCAGCGAAAAGACCAACAAAAGCTAGAGAAGGAATTGCAAATTAAATCGAGGATAAAAATGGGTTCATAAAAAGGAATATCTTTATTCGATGAAAAATACGAAAGCTTAGGTGCATAAAGTATTTTACTGTAGGCATTGGCTTAAATTAATGTTTTGAATAATTAAAATTTACAGAGATTTTCGTGGAATGATATGCCCCGCGGTTTTTTTATGATTAGTTTCATTTTAAATAATCTTGGTTTTTGTACTTTTTTGTAATACATTGTTAGTATTTTTGTTCATTATATAAGCTAAGTGCTCATTTGGCCTGGATACTTTATATTAAATGGAAAAAGACAGTTTTGAAAATCTTAATGTTTTTAGTACTACATATGAAGGCAATGCAATGCCTGCTTAAATAAAATTAAAAAACTTTGACAGCTGAAAAAATATATCAGAAAGTTGCTGCTCTGCCAACTTTCTTTAATTTTTAACCTTTTTAAAACAAGAGTCTCGAGTGATTGCCAAGAATGGCAGCTGACATAGAAAGCATGCTTGTTGTGTGCACGAGCACATGCTAATTCGCATTGATATGGACTGAAATATTTACAATACTTCCTGCATGAAAAATTGCTTTGCTTCGAGTCTTTTCAAAGCGAACATAAAAAGTGTCAAAAATGTTTCAATTATCTGCAAGCTATATCTGAAAATTGTTAACACTACGGTTGACATCAAGGCTATTGCCAATATCCATCTTTCATAGGATACTAGGGGTCATACAGCGCAAAAAATATTTTGACTCGAGGTAGTAAGACCATTTTTGGACCGATTTAAATTGCTCCTTATAAGAGCTTTAGGGGTTACTTTGATCAAAGTGAAGAGCACTGAAATGCAAAACTTACCAAAAAATAAAGGGATGTCCAAAGTTTTTTCCTTGCCTACCTTTCTAGTAAGCAACACGAGGTACAAAGCATAGCTGTTGAAAGAAAAAGTATCTTAAAAAATAGAAGCTTTTGGGAATTGTGTGGTTTATGGAAGATAACTCGTTTCAAAGCACCACGTTTGCAAGCACCACCAGCTTCAAGAAAAGGATTTTAATTCAAAGACCTCGGAACTTGCATAAAGATTCCGATTTCTTCACTTTTAAAACGTTATCAATTAAAGTGATATCATTTGGAGAAAACAAAAGACATATCGACTTACCACAGAGCTGATAGCAACGCAAATATCGCCCCTTCGTTTATGCTCCCATGGTTGCTTGGATCTGATAGCGATACTAATGTAATTCCCCCAATGCTTAAAACAAGAGAGAAAAGTCAACAGTTCATGGATTCCATATTGAGTCTTAAGCCTTATCAGGAAAGGTTGGAAAAAGCCATATTGGAGGGGGTTAAATCATATCAAATACTCTGTTCTAAATATAACAGATTCTTAGTGGAGATTATTATGATGACTGAAGATTCTCTAACATCAACAAAACATTCTTCTGAGCGCTTTAGGTCCTGGGGACCCTGGCTGCCAACAGCCCTGTAAGTGACTATAGAAATCTTTGGGTAGGGTCTTTGGTTTCCTCAAATGATTATACGCATGTGGAGACTCTTGCTGGAGATAACCAACAAGTCATCCGATAACCTCATGCCATCGCACAATCGATTGCTATCTCCTTTATGCATCATATTTCTCCTTTATAAGAGTGTGACAGTTGTGTTTTTATTTATCAAGTTTTCTTTGACACTTAAGTAATATTGAACTTTATGATATAGCTGCAAAGGTGTTGCTATAAAATAAAGGCTTCGTCATATTCAGAATATAGACAGTTTTACTGCTAACAGTTACAAAACAAATAGCCTGACCAAACGTGTTGGCTGAAAAACTGAAATACATACAGAACTAAGCTACAGGGGCGTCATTGGATCCCCAACAACTTAAGAAAAGATGATGAAAAATCTTTGGCAGAAAAATCAGAGGATCAAATTCATTGAAAAAATACCTGGCGGCAACAGCAACAAGTTTTGATAATGAGAATTTGTCCATAACAGAGCTTTGAAAGATTGAGGACAGTATCAAAGTAAAGAAGCCTGAAAAAGCAGAACATGATTTAACACAAGTGCCTAGAATTGCAGACGATAGTTTAAAATTATAAAGTCAAATTTCAGGTCTAATGCAATTCATCACTTAATCTGTATGCGCGATGAAGTTAACCGCGTTTGAAAAAGAATGGGCAGTTTCCTGGTCCATGATTTGACATTCAACTACACAACTAATGAATTAAAAAGGGCAGTACCAAGAAAAATTATTTTTTCATACACTTAGGAAACATCTTCAACAAGTGACTACCTGATGTTGACGATAGTATGTTTGTCGCTGCCGCAGATGTGTGTGCTAGAGCAGCTTGGTAGAAGAACGATCCACACATCCACTAGGAAATAAAATGAGAAACAGCTCACACCAACTTTACATACCACATAACACAAACTCTTAGACAATACAGTAGCTCGAAAAAATACCTAAGAAATGATGGCATAGGTATGTCACAAGACAAGCACTGAAAAATATAAAAACGAGTTATGAAAAATAGGTATAATATTACAGCAAAGTAAAATGATATTTTATGATTGCTGGATGAATATCGGATAGCCATTATAGTTAATATAAAAGTATGCATATATCAAAAATGGGGAAATCGGGAAAATGGGAAAAAGCTGTGGGAACCTTTCTGTTTCAGGCTAAGGTGAACTGACTGACTTTCTATGATGCAAGGGATGCTACTTGTCATCAAAAGCTATTCAAGACAAACAGTTTGTATGAGAAGACTAAACTTTTAGAGAAATTTTACTGGAAAATTGTAAACTTTTAGAGTTTCTCTAGGTATGACTCCTTGCTTCAATCTGTTTTGTTAGCACGTTGTAAACTGTTTATTAGCCTACCATTGATTAGAATGAAAAACTTAAGCAATAAACTATTTAAGTAATAAATGGTTTTAAGCAATAAACCAAATTTAGTTTTTACTAGTTCTAGACTTACCAAAACACAAAAAACGAAAGCAAGTCTGATGGTGTCCGAAAATGGAACTCTAGAGTTGATAGTATTAAGAACTTCCTCTAAATCTTCAATGCTTGAATAGGACAGTCTTGCTAACATTGCAGCATGTGAATCTTTTTCTGCAAAATTAAGAAAAAGCCAACCTTAGTAGGATTGTTTAATAACCTTAATACTCCAATCTAAATTTCTTTCAATAAATGACTCTCAAATGTTTCTCTCAAATCAAGTTTGTGATAGGATGGTGGCAAAAACTTTAAGGATCTGCAAAAAGTTTCTTAACATTTACCCTTTCTTTAGAAAACAGTCATAAGTGAAAAACAAGTAATGGCAGAAAATGATGGTATAATAACTTTTGTGTGCAACTAAAATGCTTTTAAAAAGTTTAAAATATAAAACACTATTTACAATCAACTGTAAGATATCTTACCTGTAAGATGCCTGATTTCTCTTGTCCTGTTGAATCTAACATGCCTCCTTGCTGGTGAGGGGGGGAACAGAAACTTCAGGTAACTTTATTTTATTATAGCTGAATATAAAATATCTATGTCATACCCAAATCACAAAATCTTTTTCTTTTAAAACGTTTTTTAGCCTGAAATATAAAGTAGTATGATACGTTACTATCATGCAACCATCATTTTCTTCATTGGCAAATGTAAATACTGATTTTCACTATAGTTAAAAATTTACTCATTTTTCCATATTTACTCTTTTGCAAGAATTGCACAGGGCATTACTTCCTGAAGCAAGAATAAAAGCTATACCACCTTCTAGAACCACATTAAAATTACCCATTTTTTACTTCTATATTTAAACTGTGCAAGAAATAAAAAATATTCCTTCTGAATGAACACAGAAGATTTTCTCTCCAAAATACAGATATTATATGATAAAAAAATTTGGCAATGTTCCAAATACCTTGGTCAGCAATGTCCATTTCACTGCCAGTCAAACTCATGTCATCATCAGTCATGTTTTCAAAAGTTGGATCAGTCTGCAAACAGAATATAATGTATGACTTGATATGCAACTATTTAACTATAAGCAAACAGAAATGACATTAATATTTTGCTTACTCTGCAAATGTAAATGACAGGATAATCACAAATGGCCCTTATTTAAAGATTTGTATTGATCCAAGAAGCCTAGGATTTAGTACAAATCCTGCAGGTTTATATTTGCTAGAGGGCACCTATCAAAAAATTGGTGAATTACTACTGGTAAATATAATTACATATATATGTTTGACTTGTATAGTGATTGTGCAAATATTTCAAAGTTAGTTCAAATACAAATAGCAAAGCTGTTTATCAAGAAATTTACTTAAGGGTGTTTTCTTACCATGGGCACATATCTATTCAAAGTCTTCTTCTTCTATAATAACGGTCATAATAGGAATAACACTTGTTAAGCCCCAGTTGAACAAACTGAACATGGCACTGAGCAACACTTGTCTGCTCAGTATAAGAATCTTCTTTCATGTTATAAGTTGCCAAGTCATCATAATGTCAAACACATTGGATGAATTATAACTAATGATTAGCAACAAGGTGATTTTAACACTTCTTACCAGAAACTGATTAGGAATAGGTGATGCTGATCTTGAAGAATAATTTGAGCCATTCAGAGATCCAATAGTGGGGTTTATTTTTGAGGATTCATTCAGGTCCTTAAAACAAAAAGTGCAAACTTATAATTATGTTTATTGATATAAATACATTCACAGTTGACTTTTTGCACTGATGAAATATTTTCTTGAAGTGGCTTCGTAAAATACCACATAAATTTCCAAAGGACTTTTTCTATTAATGTTTTATGAACTATAAATTAACCGTAGGTTTTAACTTTCTTGTTTAACCTATTCTGCATTAAATCTTGTGGGATGAACAGAATTTCCAAGTTTTGCTATGGCAAACTATAAGCCAGTCATTTTATATTAATGAAGTGTGAAAAAAGACATGATGATATTTAAACCATTATTACAAATTGACTAAGCATTCATGTCATGTTTATTTACTAAGAGGTTACTCAGGGGTCAGATCATCCCTAAAAATGGGTAGCAAAAATTAATAAAGTTGAAATGCAGCAGTTACCCTTCCTGTTGGTAGTTTTATCTTGCTCACTTTAATTTTAAAAACTTCTAATAATCTTCTATTAAATTTGTTACAAGGCAGGGCAGGTTTCAATACTGAAGTTACTAATGCCCTCTTTTATATTGTATAATTTTGGAAGATGAAACTGGAATGAAGAGGAAGTGAAATGATAATGACCAATTGCACAATTTAAATACACATTTGAGAGTCAAACCTAGCTTAAAGATGATAATGTAAGACAGGTAAGTGATACAGGAGGAATAGTTCTCTTTACCTCTCTCCCAAAATGTTTCTGCTTTCTTACATGCAGAGGTGCGGTCTGCATGATGCAAAGACCACATTGAAGCTGCCATGGTTTGTAGAAAAGGAAACCAATAAAGTAGAACATGAAAAGAATTGTTTTTGTGTATGTTGTAAAGAATGGCTTGTCAAAATCCAGATTTCCAAAGATGTACTGCGAAAAGAATATTAGATTCATTACTTCAAATTTACATGCTTCCTTACCAATCAAGGGTGCAATCTGCACTTTAATCCAGAAGGCTAACCAAATATACAGGGATGGAGCTATTTTACTGTGCCCCCTCCATGAAAGCATGCAAACCCTATCTGAAAATTAAAAGAATAACTATATGAAGATGATATTATAGCTTTTTGTTGGAAGTCAAAATTCCTCCATCTAACAATTTTTTGTGTCATTGAGGAGATATTATGCCAATGCTTAGTGGAAAGTCATAAATTAAAAAATTCTTTGATAGATACATAGAAATAAAGATTTAATATTTCTGATACAATATTAAGAGATAATTCACAAAAATTTGACTTTCACTGTGCTTTTCAACAAAGGAAAGGCATTTTCTAAAAAAAGTCAACTACGTAAAGTAAACATATTTTAGAGAGGAATAAAACGGATCATAAAATAACCTATTAATTTCAACAAAAACAGCCTAGAAGATTAGATATATGGTTTTGCTAATGCTAATGCTTTCACCATGCTTTTCAACAAAGGAAAGGCATTTTCTAAAAAAGTCAACTATGCAAGTAAACATATTTTAGAGAGGAATAAAACGGATCATAAAATAACCTATTAATTTCAACAAAAACAGCCTAGAAGATTAGATATATGGTTTTGCTAATGCTAATGCTTTCACCATGCTTTTCAACAAAGGAAAGGCATTTTCTAAAAAAGTCAACTATGCAAGTAAACATATTTTAGAGAGGAATAAAACGGATCATAAAATAACCTATTAATTTCAACAAAAACAGCCTAGAAGATTAGATATATGGTTTTGCTAATGCTAATGCTTTCACCATGCTTTTCAACAAAGGAAAGGCATTTTCTAAAAAAGTCAACTATGCAAGTAAACATATTTTAGAGAGGAATAAAACGGATCATAAAATAACCTATTAATTTCAACAAAAACAGCCTAGAAGATTAGATATATGGTTTTGCTAATGCTAATGCTTTCACCGTGCTTTTCAACAAAGGAAAGGCATTTTCTAAAAAAAGTCAACTATGCAAGTAAACACATTTTAGAGAGGAATAAAACGGATCATAAAATAACCTATAAATTTCAACAAAAGCAGCCTAGAAGATTAGATATACATGGTTTTGCTAATGCTATTTTGCAAAGGATTAAAATTCTTATGGCAGTTTCACAAATTCTCCATCATACTGCTTAGCAGAGTTTTTTTGCAGTCTTTTGTTTTTCACACTTTTGAATTTATACTGTTGTTACTGTTATCAAATTTCAATCAGTTTTAACTAGCAATGTTTGATTAATTTGGGGGCCTTAGCTCGATAGCTCTCTTTAGAGTTTTTTAAGTGTCCTAAACAACAAGTAAAATTATAATGTCAAGCTGTTAGTCTAGGAATTATTGTAGTGAAGATAGATCTAAATAAGTTGTATTGTAGCTTTTCTTGAACACGTATTTTTTATTTACAACTTTAACTTGTTTGTTTAAATGAAATTGAAAAATTGAATAGAGAAACCAACCTTAGTGAGTTCCGATGAGCCAACCCACAAAACAACAACCAATGACAACACAAATACCCCTAAAAGAAACCTTCTGTTCCTCACGCTAGCAAACAATTTTCTGCAACAGGTGCAACCCATTTCTGCTCCTACAGTTCTTCAGTTTCGGCTTACTTTTCACCCATTTTCCTCAATTCTGACCGGCCTGCACGCATCCCAACTCGTTCGAGGCTGATCTTTAGAATCGGTTCTGCCGCTTCCTTGAGAATGTCGTGCACGATGTTGACAAGAGAAATAAATAGAATCCTTTCAGCTATCTTCTTTAACCCCTAAACACACAATACGGTATCTAATAGCTTCTAAACTTTGAGAAATAAAAGTTTCACTTTAGTTACGTTATCGCCGACAGATCTAAATATATTCACTTTTGTAACCTCGTTCTCAATTCTTAGTAATCTCTATCCCAATTCACGTGCCAGGTCAAATCCTGGTCAACTCGCGAAGTTGAAACGGGTTACAAAAATATCGACTGTTAGATTTTACAAGTATTTTAGTAAATTATTTTGTTGTCTTTGTTTTGTTCTTTTTGTAAGTTCTGTCATTAGCTGCTTAAAGTGTGCAAAAGTTATTTTTGATTAGGCTTTTGACAGAAAATGAAATTCTGTAGACTGGGACCTGGGACAAAAAAATTTTTCACACAGCACACATACAGCTATACATTGTCTCTTCTGTTTCCCTCCGCACATTGTAGCATTCTTTGTTTATTTTTTTGAATTACTTCTTCGGCGCATATTAGTTTTCAAAATTTCCAGTTAAGCTTATTATCAGTCAAAACATCTAATTATTTTATGTAGTTTTTAACTGGGACTGGAGTATCATCTATCTTAATACAAATTTTAGATTTCGAATTTTTGCTATAAGATGTGATAATGAAGTTTGACTTTGCGACTTTGAGGAATAGTCCCGGGATAGCCTGTTAGCCGAAAGCCATGTTGAAACATTTTTCGTTCATTACCTACAGTTTTTTCAAGTTGGAGTGGGTTTCAATGAGAGAAAAAGATACTAGCACAGGGTCCACCCCACTTTTTTGCGAAGCAAGTAGTTTTAAAGCTGCAGTAAAAGGGGAAAGAAGTCTTGGCCCCCTACTTTTGCTAGCCTTAGCCCCCTCACTTTCAAGTTCGTGGCATGGGCCTTATAGCATAATCATGTATTTTTAAATTCTTTATGTAAAAAGATTGAAATAAGGAATTTAAAAATTTCGTTTGGTTAGCTGTAAAATGTAACAGATAGGAATTTGATGAGAATATAACTTCAGCTACCCTTGGCAGACAGAGTAGGTAGTTTGTTGTGTTGTAAATTCTTTCACTTGTCAGGGCAGGTTGAGTTACTAGTTTACTAGGTAAAAATCATCTCATCTTCATACTTTGCAGTGGCCAACTTAATTTTTTTTATTAAATTGAGCAAAATGCTAAAGCGTTGCACCGTATTGGCGTTAAAGTTAAAAATTAAAGAAAAAGATGAAAAATTTAAGAATGCGTAAGGAAAGCAGGGGGCATGTCTTTTATATCTAGAGGAAAAAGAAGGGGGCCAAATACACTTACTTGGGGGACACCACGAGTTATAGACTGGGGCCCGGATAGAGCTTCGTTCTTCCTCCTTTCTGGGTTTTGTTAGAAAGATATGATTTAAACCATTTTAGGGCAGTTCCTTTTATGCCATAGTATTCAAGTCTCTCCTATCTAACTGGCATAAATGCGTTCTGTTCTACATTCAAGCAAATAATCTACCCTGGTTCAAAATATATTGCTGTGTTAAAAGGTACTTAAGATTAATAAGATATACAGTAAATTCTCTTTTTAGCCCCCGGGGGGCTTATTGTTTTTCAGCACTTTAGAAGGGGGCTTATAAGAGAGGGAGGGCTAAATTGAGAGAGGGGGCTTAATAAATATTTTGTAATAAAAACCATGTGGCAAACTAATTTTTTTATCATTTGCGAAATAAAAAACATCAAATCAGCCTTCTATATCAATTATATTGTCAGCGTCATCAATTATTAATTCTAAAATATCTTCTTGGGCCATGTCGCCTTCTGAAATTGAGCATTCGAAAAGGTCGACTTCATCCCTCGGAGTACCAACGGCCTGTAATTTTGGTAAAAGGTTTTCACATGGCCCGTGCTTAATGCACATTAAATCTTTGTCTTCGGATCTGTCGTGACTGGAAGAGACATAATGTGAATTTTGATTGGATTCCAAGTATTGAATGACCAATAAATAAAATGAAAATCTCTGTTTTTGTCAAGTTTACTTATTTCAGCGTCAGTGAAAATTGGGGGGGGGGCTAAATTGAGAGGGGGGGCAATTAAATTTTTGCTTCTGAATAGGGGGGCTAATAAGAGAGGGGGGCTAAAAAGAGATTTTACGGTAGCCAATAAAACATGCAACTTGGTCTCCCAAAATTTCCAAAAAATGCAACTATCAATGATCACCTTATAGTAGTCTCGTTCTCCAAGAATGGTCTCGTTTTAAACTAAAGCATCAGAATTCAGCAGCGTGGTGTTCCAAATGTTCGTGTTTTAACATTGATTTTTCCCCGATTGCCAGTAAAATGGAAGAGAAACCTCCGCCAAAAGACCAATCTCTTGATGAAGATATCGATTTAAATGAAGATGACATTGTTGAAGTTATTGAAATAACGGATGATGATGGTTTGGAGGAAGGTGTAGAAGACATGGGCCTAAACCAGAACTCGGAGGGTTATTTGGATGATGGGGAAGAAGAGGACGAGATTGAAATGAAAGACGACTTTGAAATCGAAGATGAGTCAAAAATTACCTTTCAAAAGCATAAAGGATCGGTTTTCTGTATCGCATTAAATCCAGCCGATCCAAAAATGGCAGGTTCAGGTAATTACAAATACATAGTAAAAACATTGATTGTATTTTTACATTTTCATTCACTTCCAGTACATTATCCGCACCCAGACTTACATTCTTTTGTAAAGGTTGCTTGTTGTGCCAAGGTTTTCATTACATGATTTTTTTAGATTACATGCTTTTTTTCTATAAGGAACCTACCTCAAGGCCTAGTTCCAAAAATTCCTTATTCGTTGACCTCAAATAATTAAATTGTAGTACCAAAAGTTCCTTAATAGTTCCTTAATTTGTTTTGACTACAACAAGCCTTAACACTTAAATGCTAAATGAAGCACTTGACACACGAATAGCAAACAATCTATGCGAATATTGGCTGCAAATGAATGAAACCAGCTTTTCAGTTCTTGATGCTCGCAGTCATAAAAATTAATCAAATCGAAAAGTTCCTTAGGGATTTCGTTTTTAGGAGTATACCTAAGTTCTTCAAATATTTTGGCCTTCTACATGTAGGTTCCTTATAAAGTGGCTCCTTATAAAAGAAAGCGTGTATTTATGTGTATTGAATATTTTCGAATTGAACTGAAACCAACATTATCCTTTTTGCCCAAATCTGCATATATACCCCCCTCTAACAGTAAATCATGTGAAAATTTACCTTAAACGATTTTGAGCTTTTTGCATGCAAGTTTTATTTTTTGGCAGTTTCTATAACCTTTTAAAACTCTAAATAGGGGTCCTGTTTTGCCACTGTTAACAGGAAATGCTTAACTAAAATCAGTTGTTGTATATATTCACGCATTGGGCTTCCCATTAGATTCAATCACTGCTTAGCAATATTTGTTGGTAAACCTTTAGGTGCTGAGGATGACAAAGCATATCTGTGGAATACTGACAACTGTGATGTAATCAAAGAAATTTCAGGACACAAAGATTCTGTCACATTTGTAGAGTTCAGTAATAATGGCAAATATTTGGCAACTGCAGATATGAGTGGTTGTGTACAAGTTTGGACAGTTGCAGATGGGTCTTTAAAGTGGGGGTTTGAATTTTCAGATATTGAGTGGATGTCTTGGCATCCTGTTGCCATTGTCCTGTTTATTGGCACTGTTGATGGGGACATATATATGACTGTACCAAGTGGGGATTGTAAAATTCTATCTGGAGGCGGGCAGAAGACAACTGCAGGCTGTGTTCTTCCAAATGGAAAGCAACTGTTTGCTGGCTATGAAAATGGAACTCTCATTTTATGGGATCTTAAAACAACAACTCAAGTGTTTTCACTTAAAGATGAATTTGGACATAAGGATAATGTGAACTGTGTATCAAGCTCTGCAAATAGCTCACTGCTAGTTTCAGGGTCTTATGACTCAACAATTAAGGTGATCAGTGCATCAAATGGGAAAGTGCTATGTAGTTTTGAGGCCGGGTTTCCACAGAGCGGTGAAGAGTCAGAAAACAGCAGTGTGGAGTGTGTAGCATTCTCAAGTGACACACAGTATGTTTTAAGTGGATCTCTGTCCGGAGTGTTAGGTATTTGGGACATCACGGCTCAAAGACTGAGACATTCATGTAAACATCCACTTGGTGCTGGCATAACAAGACTTTCAATAGACCCAACTGTATCATTTCACATATTCACTGGTGCACTAGATGGCGTTCTGAGGCTTTGGGATATTAGGTCTGGAGAATGTCTCAGGCAATGGTGTGGACATGCTGAAGCAGTTCTTGATTTAAAAATTTCAAAAGATGGAAGGACTTTACTTTCATCAAGTGATGATGGAACAGCAAAAATTTTTGAAGTTTAATCATATCATAAAGCTGTTTTAATTGACAAGTATTTTGGATTTTAATGTCATCAGAAATAGATTCAACAATGCCTTTGCAAGGTAAATGTGAATTGCTTTTGTTACATCTCTAGGCTTGATACACAATGTATTCAGAATGTGTGCTAAGATTTGTTGTCAATTTTTTTTTATTTTAATCCTTATTAGCACAAAAGAATGATTAAACTTAACATTTGATCATAATCTATTGCACTAGATTTCCTAACACAGCATTTATTGATTTGATTAATTCATGTTTCATCAAATTGCATCACTGCTTGCAATAGAAAGACATAACTGACAGGGATGAAGCCAGCACTGAAAAGGTGGGCTGGCAACAGGGGTGAAGCCAAAAAGTTTTTCAGAGGGGTGCTGTATTGCTTTTTGCTGACAAAAAGGGCATGTCTCATTCTTTTGGGTGTGGTCATAAGATAAGTAATTTTATATGCTGATTTCATGTGTTTCTATTTCAACATTCAGAATTCTATACTTTGAATGTAAAGCATTTTTAGTGCCATACTTTTGGTGGGGAATTCCCCCCATGCCCATCCTTGGCTTCGTGCCTGATAATTGACTTGTTTTAAATATCTTTATATGTGTCCTCTGCCAACCTTCTGCTGCATAACAATAACAAAAAGGCAAATGGGAAAGTTTAAAGTTGTTTCTGTACCATGGTTCATGGAGATGTGCACAACAAAAATATCACATGTACATTGACAATTTTTTTTTCTATTCATTTTTTTAAAAAAGTTATAATCCTTCATTAAACTGAAGTTTATTATCAAATTTTATACAAATTCTGTTTTCATGCAATCCATTAAAGAATGTTTTAACATTATACTACATTACTCCTTGGTGTCTAATAAAGATAGGGATTTCAATTTAAATGAGGGTATCAAAAGCTGTTCAATTAACAAGAGGGGATCAAAATAAGCAGAAAGGGTGAATTTTAGGATATATTATTTTGAAAAAAATTAACATTGAATGATAAGCTGTTTCCTTACATTTAAAGCAAATTAAACAAAATTTTCCATTTCAGATACAAAGAAACTGTAAGTTGTAGACAGTTTTTCTGCATCTAAAAATTTACATGTGAAAATTAATCAGTTAGGGGTCCTTAAAGAATCTGAGGGTGGAAATGTGAAAAATAAACAGAGGGGACCTGTTTATTAAGCACTAAGAAAACATAATTGTAACACTATGACGACCACTAGGTCCAAAAGACCATGCCCACTCTGTGACCATTATGAATATGAAAATAACAGTACATTACAGCTAACGGAAGTTCTTTTTCATTTCAAGCTACAATAATGATATTTGGCAACAAAATTCAGTTTGGAAAACTCTACTGTATACCAGTCCTATCAATGTTAAACTGGAACTTATTCTGATGAAAAGAAACTCAAAGTGGCCAAATTTTAGCAAATCATGAAAATGAAAGTACTTGTTTCTTTTTCAATGCATTAAAACTATAAAAGGACTTTCGAAAATTTGACATGTTAGAACTGCGACGATTCGGATTTTATAGTATCATGTCATTGACTGTTTGCAATTAGATAGGGTACTGATTACAGAATATTTGGAGTCTTGATACTCCAAGTTCTACTCTTTATAAAGAGGTCATATGCATCGTCCTGATTGTATAACAACAGCAACAACATAAATGTTTATATGTGAGAGAAATGTGTTTTTCTGTGTATATGTATTGTAGAATTTTTAGTTCTTCAGAAACTCGACAAGGTCCCATGGTAAATCACCTTCTTTCGGGCCATCCATTGGCAGGTTACGAAGTATTTCTCTTTTGCAGTGATCTTTAAGCGTTATGTTCCTTTTTAACGGATACATCAGCTTCATCATTCCGATGTTTTGTCCCGTTTGGGGAGAAACCAGAAGATAATGATCCTTGCATTTGTCGATCAGTTGTAAAATCAATCCATCCAAAGAATTTGCTTTCGGTAAACCTGGATTTTTGTGATCAAGGCTGAATTCTTTGTCATTAAAGTCGATTTTCATGTTTGCTACTAATCCATCTCTTTTGTAAATCATTTCAAAATGTTTATAATTTTCATGGTAACTCACGAGGAATGTTCCGTTTGCCATTGACTCAAGGATACATTCACCTTCCCTTCGAGAAAGATTCGGCCAAAAATATTCCGATGTTCCAGCCATCACGAAAATTTGTTTTTTCCGCGTTTGATCGTCCGCTGCAGTTACATATTTTTCATCTTTTCTTCTGATGCAATTCAAGACGCACGTTAAAAAATAGTTTATTTGGGAAATCATGTTTGCTGTGTGATTTCCTAGTCTTGTACCGCAAGCGTTAAAAATATGCCAACAAATATCCCAACATATCGTATTTATGTTAACCTGTCACGATAGTTTTGCTGACAACAAAATATGCCTACGCATTGCGCTAAACTGAGGTAATCGAGAACTGTTTTGATTTGCCGTACGCCCGGTAATTCCCCCTAGAATACAAAACGCGTTGTTGTAAACTATATGTTGTAAACACACGCAATCCTTTGTTAGTCAAGGACACGTCAAGGCGTGTTTATCGCCAAAAAGATTTAAACAAGTTTTAAAAAGATTTGTTATGGTTCAATGCATTCAGATACTCGAACGCCTAACCTCTTTTTGTGACCTAACCAGATGTTGAATGTAAATTTCTAATTTTGTCCCTCAATAATATCAAAAATTGTGCTTATAGCAAATCTGTTACGCAATCTTTTTGCTTTGCTTTTTGCGATTCTCGCATTTTCCAACATGATTCGGTGCCACCGTACCACCCTTTTTTAAGAAACAGATAATTTCAACGAATTTTGATCTTCTTATTTTTTGTATAATTTGAGGCTCAATTATTCTTAGTGCTGTTTCACTTCAAAATTGGTTTATTTATTGACTCTCCAGGGTACCAGAGCCACATAATTCGAGCGCATTTTTGGCAAAAAATAGGGAGTATATTTCTCATCCGCAAGACTTTATTAGCCCCTCAAAGTCTAATCAAAATTCCAAAAAAACTGGAAAGTTATAATTTTTGGATAATACTCGCCATATTTCGTTAGAAATAAAGTACGGAACTAAAGTACGTTAGAACTTAACCTTTTAGTAAAATCCCAACAGTTTTGGTCTTAAAATGATCGCTCTCGAAACCTTATAATTTTACGCAAAAACCCTTAATGCAGTTCAATATGAATCAAATTGCATAAGCTTCCTTGATTTTTCAGAATTTGTCACAATATTTGGAAACTGTGGAAGGGAAGTGACTAATTGAAATAGATGATGCTGAATTATCCGTTCCTACCTGGGTGTAAGGATCCCAGCCCACTCCCACGGTGGACGTGTCAGGGCAGGGGTTATTCTAACGTGGTTTTGTTACCGTTTTGTGGTGTTGTAAATTTGATTTGTGGTGTTGTGATTTTAATTTTGTGGTGTTGTAAAAAATTTGACCCACTGGAGATTTTTTTTGCAAAATATAAGGAATCGTTTGGTAAAACTATAAGAATTTCAAATAAAAAAACGTAACACAACAGAAGAATTATAGTAAATAGTCAGCAGTCATTTGTAGCTTTTTGTGACTGACCCCTACAACTGTCTGTTTCTTTCACAAATCCCCTAACCTGGGTGCCAGATAGAGTCAAAGGATGAAGAACGGGGAAAGGCATTGCGAAGGAGAATAGAAATGAGGATATGGCACCCAGGGTACAATTCCTTTTACGCTTATATTCTGAATTGTGTAAGGCGAAGCGAGTAGAAAATGATTTACGTGTAAAACTGATTTTCCAAAGTAGCCAAAAAACCTTAAATATGTTATACCAAAAAATAAGTTAAAAATGTTTTTGAAGAATTTGATAAAGAGATCTTTGTAAAGAAAGTTTGGACCTCTTATCTTGCTTTTTCATGTGCACAAATCCATCTATTTTAGTAAAAAAGCTTTTTTCCATTTCTTTGCAAGGTAAACTTTTGATTTCTCTAACATATCCAACTTGTCTGCAAAATGCATTGAACTTCTATAATGAGCCTTTGCCTTAATTGGTAGAATTTTTTCTGAATCTTCTTGGCATACTTCTTGATAAAAGCATGGCCTTGTAAACCAAATATAGCTGTAATGTTTAAATAAATGACGATATGATCTGGTATGATATATATGATATGACTGTTGAACACTTTTCAGCTGTTGCTCGGCAAGCAATGACCAAGCAGCAAGAATCAAATTTCAATGTAAACATTTTCTGACTCAGTGACAATATAAATGTTTGCAAAACCAAAGACCAAGATACAACTTTTTGTCTGGGGGACCAGTCCTGATAAATAAGTGTAAAAACAGCAATATTTTACAAAATACTTAAGTTTTTGAGAGAGCAAGGCCCCTCGCCCCCCCCCCCGGTATCTCGGTCCTTGTGCAAAACAGCCGGGTCGCTCAATTTCCAATCATTTCTTCATCCTTTCTTCTTTTGAACTTTCCTTTTCCAGAAAGCTGTCTCTCTTTTTCTTTTCACAGCTGCTGCATTTTAAGGCCATGAAGTTGATCTATTTTCATCTTAAAGCTTATTTGTTATTCTCTCCTATCCCTAGAAAACTCTCCTGATCCCTAGAAAACTCTCCTGATCCCTAGAAAACTCTCCTGATCCCTAGAAAACCAGGACCTCAATATAGGTCCTCCTATTTCCAAAGAATCTTCTTGCGTCTCCTTCAAATTTTGCATACACAGGGTAGATGCATGTAGATCTACTTTCACAACAACATGTACAAAAAACCAAAAAGGAAAAGGGTGTCCATTTACTCAAGTGCACAAAAGAGGTCCTGTTTTGAAAAAAAAAATTCAAATTTAATTGATGGAACTTGGCCTGTAAGCCCTGTTATGATATCACAATAGTGACAATACACCCTTGATGACTGTTCCACAAACCAGTGGTGGTGCCAGAGGGGGACAGGGGGACTACAGCCGCTCCCCCCGTCGGAGCTGCTTAGCCCACCCGTCGGAAGATATACGGAGGAAATTTATAATTTTGTCGGAGCAAGATTTTGCTACCATATATAAAAGTTTTACGAAAGAGAAGTAACTGATTACAAAAATCCCATTGAATATAAATATACAACTAGGTAACTCCTAAATAATTTACAAATCATATTGGGGAACTCAACCCTCTCTTTCGGCATACCAAACGGCAATCGGACTATCAATATAAGTAAAATTCTTAAAGACCACTGGGACATAATTTTAAAGGATAAACAACTAAGAAAGTATGGGAAAAGCCTCCTATACTAGCACTTTCATTTCATTTGCAGTCCGTCGGTTGACAACGATGACTGTTCTACGTTTTCGGTTGAATGACTGCCCTGCATGATTGACGATCCAACGCTTTGGACTGCCAGTCCTGCGTCTTGATGTCCCTCCACTTCATATTTCTCTTTGTCACGTCTTTAAATCGGAGTCTTGGTCTACCCTGATTTCGCTGCCCCATTTCTAGCTACTAGCACTAAACGGGCATGAAAACATTGGAGATCTAATAACCGACAATTGGGGACACATGGGTATGGTGTATTTGATTGTTTTCATTTTCGGTTCGATCCTCGTCACCCATTTTGGCACGTTAATATTTCAACTGTTAAATGGAAAACTGGAACCAATGAGAACCAAACTCTACATTACAATTTTTCAACGTTGGGTGTGCAAATGACGAGAATGATTACAAGAAAATCTATTAGAACCGTCAAATGGCGTATTCCGCCTGTGGATATCAATTCTAAGAGTAGGATTGTATTGTAAAGGTAGAAAAAATTGACTGAGTGCATTTTTCAGCAAACTGGAATCATCTGCAAGCTAGCAAAGTCTTAACCTACCAAAGTAAAATGGTTCCTGTTCTGTTTAATGATTAGATGGCGTCCTTTTGTTACTCAGAAAAGTTACGAACGTTGAGAATAAAGAAAAATCACAGAAAAAGGTCTACGAAGAACTTTCTTAATCTATGTCTTTTATCTTTTAAGGGACAGTTTGTTATAGTAGCGAGTCCCCCACGAAAATATTAATCCCGCTCTAAGTAGCTACTCTTTCTTGTTTGTTAAATTCATGTCCTGTGATCTTAATGATCTTAATAACCACGCTCATCTCATTTGCTCCAAAATCTCCTATACCTACAGGTAAAAAGACAAGTTGTCGGTAATTTGGGCAAGGCTTGATTCACTATTTTCGAATCTCGGCTTTCTTAAAAGAATGGTGTATTTTGAAAATTGTGGAAAAACATCTATGTTTCGTATGTGTTTTTCACAACCAAATTAAAAAATCTATCATATTCTTTAATGAAATAAGATACTGAAGTAGTATGATATGAATTACAGAGTAAACATTTTCCTTCAAATGCTAAGTTGTAAGTTAGGGGTCTGGAACCAAGCTACAGTAGGATCTGCATACTGTGTTGTGTGTTTCACTTCTAATATCTGATGTCATGAAATAGCTGTACTGATAATTAAAGGAAACAATCTAAGTAGCTAACTATGACCCAGAAACAGCAAGCAAGATTAACATTTTAGTTGATACTTATAGGTCTGTTAAATTTGTCTTTGATACTTTTGATACTTGGAAAATTTCGGATGGACCCCCGTATATAAAAAGTTCAAGTGATTCCCCCTCCCTGTGCCGAGGATGGATCAGCCTCAAAATCCCGGAAAAACCCTCACCTTGTAGTTGGATCAATTTGCTGACTGCCTTTCCCCCTTACTTTTTAGCTCAAGTATTGTATCAAGGTTGTGGCATTGAAGACAATAGTGTCAAACTACCAAAGGAGTTTGCAAACTTGTATTAAAAAACCCATACTCCCCACACCAAAATGGGCTCCAGCGAAATTATAACTTTTGAAACATGGCATATCTCTTAGACTAAAACCAAATTTAAATTTCTCCACCATACCTTCCTTATTCTTTACAAGTGTGTATACATCCAACTCAACTTCTCTTATAACGTTAATCAGCACGAGCACACTTAAAAATACACTGAGCATGCGTGAGTAATTAGTATGCACACATTACCCTACCACATCTTTTCCATACCCAACACTCCTTTCCGAACCCACTTGGGACTTTTGGGAATGGGACCAATTAGGATGTCACACCCTCCTTTGTCAGTAGAAAACTGTTCCTTCTGTCGTGTCAAGCTACTTTTGTTTGAGAACGGTTCCAAAAACTTGATGGACTTATTTAGAACAGAAACAGTGCAGTCGTAGTGAACAGTGGTTGTTGGATAGAAATAGCATAAATCGTGATGTTTACATTTTCTTTACAATCGTGAATACAGCTATCGAATAGCTGGTATTTTCGGCAGCGACTTTAAGTTGTTCTATTTTTAAACAAGCTAAGATGTTTGGCTAGAGGCCACATGTCATTGGGGATTCCCTTGGTGGATAAATTACATTTCCCACACAACCGGCATATCATCTGTCCAGCCTTCGCTGAGTCCAAGAGCATGAAGCTGTTCTCTCAAAAGCCTAGGATGTGGATAAAGAAGTTGCGGAGATGTTCGATTAGAACAAGAAAGGATGAGCACCAAAATAAAGCCGTTAGTTATAAATGCGAGAACAATGCTATCAGATTTATCGAAGACAAATACGTATTATCTACTGTAGCCTGGTATTGGCCTGATATCGATGGATATAGTGCAGCACGACTACTTCATGGACACAAAAACGGAACATTTTTGGTGCGGAAAAGTTCTATGGCTGGGTTTATGTTTACTTTGACCTACATTATCGATAACAAGGTAGGGAACTTGCGTGTACACTGCAAAAACGGGTTGTTCAGCTTGTGTTTCCACGACCTTTTGCAACCGAGAGAACCAACATTGCAAATGCTTGTAGAAAAACTGGTAGCGTTTTCAAGTAATGGCTCGTTTATATGTGGACTTCGACGCGAAACAGACGGCAAAAGTACCAATGTCCCTCTGAAACTTGAGACTCCTTTGCGTCGTAACGTGAGTCTGCAGGATCTCTGTAGAAAAACCATTATGAGGTCTCTCTGCAATGCAAACGATGTTTCGGAGTTCGATCTGCCTGCAAGTATCAAAGACTTTCTGCTGGAGCTAAACGATAGAGAATGAAGTTCTGCATTCCCCATGGTTCGTTGAGAATCCCTACTTTGCACGGAGAAGAGTGCCTTCTAGCCCTTCAGTTCGTGCATGTTATTGAAGACACAACAAATGCCGTTCGCGGCTTATCTTTAGAAAGAAGATAAAAACCTCTGTTATCATTATCACCGAACAACAACAGGAAACTTTTTGATATTTTTCGCGAAGGGAAGTTTCAAACGAACTATCTTGCGTATATATGTAAGGAAATGCTTCACAAACTGTTTTCGTAGTCCTTAACATCTTAAAATTTATGATATACCAATCTATCATTTGAATCATTTCAATTAAAAAGACAGGTTGTTTTGTTGCTAAAGCACATCTGTTCTTTATTCCATCATTTGTTGATGTAATAAAATGCATTGTGGTAATTAATCGTCTTGTAATGGCATGGTTGCCCAGCCCAGCATATAATTAACAATTTTATGGCCAGACACGCCCATATTTCTCTCGTTATCCATTTTCGATGTCCCTGTGGATTTTAGCTGTTCAAAACAGAATCATAAGCCCTAACACCTGCCTTTTATAATCCCGTCCGTGTGTTCAAAAGTGAAGTTTCCATGTGTTAAGATTCATCAACTTTTAATAGGAGACGGCGATACCATTTTGTTCAGATGTGATAATGCATAGTCCATCGAACACCTTCTCAGAGTGTTTATTGTTTCAAAGTTAATCTCACACCATAAACTATGCTCACACATATCTTTTATGCTCTGTAGCAGTGTAGATGAACTATAGGGAGATTTCAGGGATTTCAACCTAGGACCATCAAGATAAAAGTAAGGGGGCATTTGTCTCGCCTTGAGTCAGTGAACATGTTTTTATCCATAATCTTCAGCTGCTATTACAGGGCCAAAACTACAGACCAGGGATATGAAGGAGTGCGAGTACAAACCAAGAAATGCCTCAAGACCCTACAGTTCTTTATAGAACAATGTTTAGCTCTAGGGCCTTTTTAGTCGTTCAGCCAAGAACTAGCCCCGCCCTTTTGCTGGGCTAACGAAAAGTCCCCTACTCTACTAAGAAAATTAAAAGTATTCAATGTGATCGCTCAAAGTATCTGTGTTATTCGAGGCAAACGTTGAAAACCTAGATAAAGTCAGTAGAGCCACACCGGTGGATACCGCTAGTTTCGTTTTGCAAGGAATATTCCTTTATTTGTCCTTCTTTGTCTTGTTCGAAGGTTCGTAAGAAGATTTGTAAGAAGGTTCGTAAGATCTCCTGTTCTTTAATTCATTCAGGATGTGATATTTTTTTAACTTCTATTGAATTCTACAGTGAATTCTTAGAAACAGCACAAAAATTAATGACGAACTCTGAAACACACGTGATATATATTTCTTCGAGTTTTAAGTTTAGTGCATTTAAATAGTGTTTACTCGTTCCTTCTGAAATAAAATCACCTTAAAAAGTATCTCAATGTTTTCATGCAGTATCGTTAGTTTTTTGGCTTTTGAGCCCAAGTACAAAGCTTATAATGGAAAATTTCCAATTCAAAAATGAACTACAAAAATAATACTGTTCAATTGCTTCTGCTTTGTCACTTCGATTCTCTACGGTGATTCTCCGACAAAGATAGGTATAATTTTTCTAAATTATTTTTGCTAACGACCGACAAAGGATAAACTGTTTCTAAATTTTCAAGTAAAATGGAACACACCCCAGTTAAGAGTTTTCTTCTGTACCCAAAGTAGAAAATATTGAAATAACAAATTATTTTTTATAGAAAAACACACTTTACAAGAAAGTTTACAGCCCCCCCCCCCCCCAGTATGAATTTAGTTCCGACGGCACTGATGTGGTTGTAGAAATATCATTGTTGAAATAAGAACCATATCAAGAACATGCCCAGCTGACATTCAAAATGTCAACCGAAAATAAGAGCATCGAGCCTCGACATAAATTATCTGGTTTTTACATTAAAAAATATTGTATTACATTAAAAATATAAAAAATTTTACAGTAAATGTTTTGACGAAGATTTTGCCAGACCAGAAATAGGCGGAGTTATCTCCTCCATACGTGGCCTGCGGCGGTGTTCAAGATTCGGGTTTGATCTTTTGTAAAAAGTAAAGTTATTGTCCATGTCGTTTAACGAAAAGTGGCTTTGCAAAATCTGCCGTCACAAGAAGAAATTTGACACAAATTTGCTGCTATTTTGCAATCGTTAGATCAAGTTTCCAATTTTGGCTGATAATTGCGTGAAAAACATAACACAAGATGAAGGCTGTCGCTTTGATATTTACCTCTCCATATTGGAGGTCAAAGACCTTTTTTGAAGTTCTGCCAGGTAGCGTGGTGGTTGCATGTTACTTGGCGATCACAAAGCATTTCAAATGTAATTTCGGTATCTTGAAAGCTGCAGCTCTTACAACGGTCCTGACTCCATACCTTCAACCATAGTCTGCACATCCTGCATACCTACCGACAACACTTATGTACACAGGGGCTGAGCTAATGCCAAATGTGAAATGTCGTTTTGAACAATATCATGAAACCCTCCGTATAAATTTCATCTCGAAATAGAGGAATTAACTGCTTACACCCTAATTATCTAAAAACAAATCAAGAACAATCCAGCCTCAAATTTTGAAAAAATCTAAGAAAAGCCAGCCAAACTTCAATATACGGGCTCTTGTAAAAATGTGTGTATCCGATTGGCAAAGAAGTTTGACATAAAAACTATTAATTTGAGTTTGACTCTATTTTTTATGCAAGAAATGTTTAGTGAAGATATAGTATGAATAGTCTAAGAAGAAAAAATGAAGTAAATGCTGCGACATAAAGCACAGAAGGAAATAGAAAATACAAACACGCGATCTTTCAAGAGTAGAAGAGAGTTATGTTACTGGAACCTTTCCTTAAATTATAGAAAATTTTGTAGACTAACTCATTTATTACATAATTGAAATTTAGGTCTTACTATAGCTTTTAAGTTGTAGAGATTGTAATTCAATTTTCTAAAAAAGTTGTCATATCGTAAATTCTTTTTTTAACCCCCCCCCCCTCTCAATTAGGTCCCTCTCTCGTATTAGCCCCCTTTTCAGAAGGAAAAATTTAATTAGTCCCCATCTCAATTTAGCCCCCCCCCCCACTCAAAACTTTCACTGATGCTGAAATAAGTGAACTTGACAAAAAACAGAGATATTCACTTTATTCATTGGTCGTTCAATACTTTCGCATCAAGTCAAAAATCACACAATGTCTCTTCCAGTCACGGCAGATTCGAAGACAAAGATTTAATGTGCATTAAGCACGGGCCATGTGAGAACCTTTTACCAAAATGACAGACCGTTGGTACTCCGAGGGATGAAGTCGACCTTTTCGAATGCTCGATTTCAGAAGACGACATGGCCCAAGAAGATATTTTAGAATTAATAATTGATGAAGATGACGATGACAATAATATTGATATAGAAGGCTGATTTGATGTTTTTATTTCGCAAATAACAAAAAATTAGTTTACCACTACAAATGGTTTTTATTACAAAATATTTACTAAGCCCCCTCTCTCAATTTAGCTCCCCTCTCTTAAAAGCCCTTCTTTAAAGTGCTGAAAAACAATAAGCCCCCCCAGGGGCTTGAAAGAGAATTTACGGTAAGGTGTAGCTGCAATCTGTAGCTGTAAAGTTTTTATTGCCAAAACAAAAACTTAAATTGATAATGATAACAGCTACATTATTGTTTTTTTGCTTTTTACACCTTTGTCTTGGGGTCCAGGTAAAACTTTACTTAGCACTAACCTTTCCCCGAATAATGCTTTTTTAAGTAAAAATTCAAAGATTAAGCACTGGCAAGTCAAATGTCATCAATATCTTTTAATGCCAATGTTGTTTACCTGACAGAATTATGAATCTGGAAGCCGCGCCAGATCACGAAGGGTCGAACACTGTTCACTTTCTATAACTATATTTTCGATATTTGCCCTCTTGTGCAACAGGTAAAGTTGAAGTGACATTCCCACTCACCGCGTAACCACAATACGACAGAACTGGCACAACAGCAATAATTGTTACAATTTGAAACTTTTGTGGCTTTTGTCGGCCACTTAAACTCTTTGCACTTTGACAAAGAGCCGTCTATCAGTTGTTGCCAACTACTTTTAGTGGGAAGTGCATCCAAATACTAAAGGGCATTCTTTTTATGGTGTTTCACCCGCCATAATTGTTGAAGTCCAGTTTAAGTTAAAGTTCACGCAGCTGTCGTGTCTTTTGCAACACGAATTGGTACACATTTATTGTTGTTACGGATAATTGATGTTGTGCTATAGGGGGGCTTTGAGAGTTCCCCCTTGCTTAGGGTGAACTCAATTTCCACTTCTTTCCATTTCATTGTTTTTGAGACTTTTGAGAACCTTGTTGTTGTTTAATCGTAACACACCCCTGGTACGATGCTTTCTTTCTACATTTCCACTTTGTGTTAGCACATTTCTTTCACGCGCTTTAATTCATCTTGCTGCGATAGGCGCAGACATTGGGACGCCCGGAAACGCCATGAAATCTTTTTTTGGGGAGAAGGGGGGGGGGGGCTGCTTCAAGGATTGAAAATAAATAAGTGATAAAGAAACTTGCTTGAGGTGTCCAAAACCCGTGTTTATTGCCGGATATAAAAATTGTTGTGTCATCCTTACAGTTACAATTTATGCTTTCGGACACAAACATCCACAGATCACTCAAGTTATATATTTAATAAGATAGCTCCGAGTAGAGAACCTTGTGGTACTCGCATGTTGTCCTCTAACAGTAAGATAACCTTGTATCAAAAAGTGCAAGAACATTTTTAAAATTATACGCCTTACCCTATCAATATATATATCATAACCCCCGTAAAATCATTCCTCAGCAACAAATATCATCCAGTCTGTGTTCCAGACCCCTAACTTCCAAGCACGGCACTAGAGATTCCCATGAACGGTAAATAGATAACAGCCCAAGCGAGTCGACCAAAAAAGCCTCTTGTTAAATAGATTCAATGATATCATCGTG